GTTCCCCTTGGATGTGCGAACTTTTGTTAGCGAGCTTCGATATCCATCAACGCCAGTCTTGTGGTTGGAGATGCGTTGATGGTTTGAAGTTGACGAGGGGCTCGGCGGATGGCGAACGGCTTCGATCCCTAGGTCGAGAGGCCACTGCCGGTCTTCGACGGTGATGGCCAAGTATACCGTACCGTGCCGGCTTCCCTGATTGAGACAGGTGACGAAGCCCTCATCCGATGGCAGGTGGCAGACCAACGTCGTCTCTTGAGTAATGTGTATAGAGACGTGATGATGTTCCAGTGGGTTGCATACGGACATCATTTGCGCAGGGTCCGGACGAGCTCGGGACACAAGGGGCCCTTCGGAATGGAACGTGGGGCACTGGGATCCCAGCTCTTCATCTTTAAATATCCACTCTTCCAAGGCCTGGGCCGCTCAGCACCGACCACTGAAACCCACTGCAGAGAGCGGATTCGGTGATCTTGTCCGGGGTGTTGGCCCACATCCAAAGGTCTGAGTAATATCCGTCAAGTCAGAAGACTGAGTGGCTGCGTACGAGTCAAACGCGGAAAGTCGATTGGATGATCAATCTGGGTTGGGCACTTCTGCTTCTCTGTGCCGATCTCCAATGACGTAGTTTGGGCCATCACATTACTCTCGCGCCCTGTTGGTGGTGCGTGCTCCTTGGTAATATTCGCGACCATCGTCACGACTCACCACCTCGGTCTTGCGGCGACAGCATAGGCCCTATGTAGGTCTGGAGCCTGTATGTCGTCTGATGCCAGGACGGCGCATTGATTGGAGTGTACCCAGAGAGCACCTAGCCCAAACGCGTCCCGGAAGCGTGGATTGCGATACTTTTTGGTGCGAGTCAAATCCCACCTCATGTCCAGGTCGAGCAGGCATTTTCCTTTTGATCGTGTTGTGGCAGCAAAGCGTCCCAGCTGGCCGGGTAATACCAGCCACCCAGTCTGACTGATTATCTTGTGGAAGACAACGTGCGCTGACGTTGTCTGGGCCAGCCAGCTAAGTCAAAGACAGCGCGGAAATCAATCAAGACAGCCTCGCAACCCGACAACGGTAGGGCTATCCTGGGTCCATCCGGTAGACAAGCTGCTGAGCCTAGACGGCTTTTCCTTGGACGAACAAAAGGCAGGTTGCAGATGTTCCAATGCATGTGATGCTTGAGGATTTGTTTGGGACTGATTCAGTGCAACAAGACTGTTTCCCCTGTGCTTCCAGTGGTAATCGTCGCAAGTTGGCGCGGTGGAACTCTCTGAGGAAACTGTTTGATTGAACCATGTGGTGTTTTGTTTGCCGATGGAGCTTTGTGCGACGAGTGAACCGCCGCCTCGTCTCAACAATGGCGTGTTTCTCCCTTCTGGAGGGGCGGGGAGGCGGACTTAGAGGCGTCGGCCACCACATGGTAATCTGCGTGTCTGCGTGCTAGACGGTCCAGCTGCGGGTGAGCATCGGTAGATGGTGTGGGCGAGAAGGAAGAACATGCAGTAGGTTGCAGGCTGCAGGTGACTATCGGGCTTCCGTGCATTGCATCGATGGGTCAAATAAGCAACGAGTCTCAGATCGCAGCTGTCGGGAGCACGTCCGGGTTCGTCTTGGTTTGGTGCAAGCTGGCAACAGACAGAAGGGTATGGACACGGACACAAATACTTGTTCGGAGCCAGAGAGAGAGGCTCAGAGACAAGCTGTTGTTCTAGCGATTCTCGAAGAGCGGCCGTGTGCGTGCAGGACGATCTTGACATGAATAGCGGTCGAGCTAAGCTGGCTCGGTCTCAGAATCCATGCATCCAAGCGTCCGGCTGTTTGCTTGGTCTCACCCTGATCAGACGATGATGGAGACCCGACTGAGCGCCGAAAACCCCCTCCATGACACCTGAGGTAGCCGTCCGACGCGGTGCAATGGCGACACAGTCGGTGGGTGACGGCGATGCTGCGAGTTCGAGACAGCACAGCTGGGATGGGAGTGGAGAGGGTCGTCTGTGCCGACGTGGCGGCCGACGTGTGTGCACGCGAGTAAGAGATGTCTGGTCGTCGCATAGGTAACGGTTCGAATAGTTGACGAGGACGAGGTTGTGAAGTCGGGGTTATGTGAAGGAGGATAAAGTTGGTCTAGCTCTAGCTGCCTGGGATTAGCACAACACACCAAGATACCTAGTGGTAAGAACTTTTGAGGGAGACCAGATGTTGTGGGCAGGAGCGAGAAGGGAGCTACACCGTTGACGGGAAAGTCCAAGGTAAGGTAGGGCGAGGACGACAAGGTATCGAGCACAGTGTGACAGAACTTGCTACCGTCTCTGAATCCGTCAACTGCGAAGAGTGCCTACCTATCGAGGGTCCTAGCGAACGGTGGAGCACCGAGGATGTGGTTGGTGGAACAGGGGGCTGCTGGACGGTGTGATGCAAGTGACGAATGGCAGCTAAGCTAATGGTACCCACTATGCGATACTGGGCCAGGTTGACGAAACGCCCGTCCATGATTGGCTGGAGTCGCCGCGGCACTTGAGGTGATGTGTTCACCGTTTTGGGCCATTCACCGCAATCCAGATTCCGGGCTTGTCCAGCTGTATGCCGAGGGCGTTTTGGCTGCGCGACAGAAACCCGGGATCGGGATTTGATGAGATCAAGTTACGATGCGTTATATCCTGCTACCAGGTACATTCTGAACTTTGCTTCAGAGTCGCCGCCGAGGACAAACGGCCCCCCAAGCATATCGATGTTGTAAGCAAGTGTTAAGCCGTACAGAGTACCATGCGGATGGATCTCAACCAGCTATTTGGCCGTGTCATGGTTCGAGTCCCCACATTCCCGACAGCAAGGACACTGGATGTCTTGGAACTGGACCACGTCTTTGCCAGTTCACTGTCGCAGGTCCTTTGTGGAGGACGGGAGAAAGAGCTGCGGCTAGTCTAGCGGGTCTCCGTGATTCGCTTGCGTTTAGCACGCAGCTGAGCCAGGGTCCTGGGTCGGATACCGCCCTGTCTGGCCTGCCTGCTTGATTGAGCTTAGCTCAGCAAGTACTTTGGGTAGGTACCGACCCTCCGTCTGCTCTCCGTTTACATCCCCCATCGCGATTGACCTGACTGCTGCTTCAATCTGTTGTTGATGATAGGTGAGCAGCAATACGATTGAGAGGTCTGAGAACACGACGGCAACCGACTGGAGGCCGTCGTCAAGGCCGCGGGCTGTTGCTAAACCCCGCCAGCCATGGCTTGCTTCTATTACTATGTACCTTATGCAGCGAGTTCTGTCTGTACATGTGGAATCAACGCAGGGGGCTCTTCGGCGCTCGTTCCTTCCCTAGCCGTCATCCAATCTCCCCAGTGTCTCTGCCACTCTGGTCGTTTTGACTCGGCCGTCAGACCCAAGGCACTGGGAACTGGCGCCCTACCGTTTCCCACGGTTTTGGGTACTTCGGCCCCAGCGCCTGCATCCCACATCCAGCCAGCCCATCCATCCGTCTGCACGCACGCTTTTCCATCCTTCCACTCCGTCCCCGATCTTCATTCAGCTGGCCTACTGTCTACGCCCGCTCAACTGAATCAATTATCTGGCTGTGCTGTTCACTATCAACGTCCAACGCCCGCACTTTCACGGCCACTTCTCTCAACTCTCGTTCGGATATCGCCCATCCAAGGTCGCAACAATAAGCTCGACCAAGTACCGAGATTTGCGTCTGCAGCGTCGAGTCCCATTCCTGCAATCCCGGTCTCTCCACCCGGTCCGGTTTTGCCGGCAGGACAGCAGGGCCAAGGTACAGACGACGCTCCAATTCCGAGCAGCAATTACGATCCTCCTTCTAACTTCTCGACCCCCTAGCCTTCTCTCGGTTCAACCTCTTCAACGAGCCTAGCTTTCGCCAACGGCCGGGACTCGACGAAACGCAAAGTCAACTCCTGTCGCCGTCTCTCAGAGTATGGAGATGGTGTTCCGATATCCCACACAAGACCTCGCTTACATTGATTCACACGCCAAACGATACCACCCCCAAAGACAGACAGTACCGTACCGTACCGTACCGCACTGCAACTCGCGGCGGCTGCTGCGCTGAGGACAGAGTAGCGCCGTTCCCCCAGTCGCACTGCCTTCCCTGGTCTGGTCTTTGTGCAACCATCCTCCTTGTCTCTTCTCGATTGCCCCTAATCCCGAAAGGCTGCCCACCGTCTCCAGAGAAACTTGGCCGCGCTAGTCCATCTGGTACTGCCGGTTGTACGGTACGGATACTGCTTGGCCTGATACTGGCTACCAATACGGACACTACCACCATAATACATACCATACCGCATGCCGCATCCTGCATTTATCTGCATTACCGGTACACTTACGCCCACCCACGCAGCACCCACGCATTTCTGCGACTCTTGTCGGCTCTGTCCAAATCCAGATCCATCATCCTGTTCGAGCCCAGTTAAAACAGCTACACTAGCTGCCATCCTACGTGACGCTACGCCAAAAGGCCTGGCCGCCTCCGTCTTCTCCTCGCCCTTTCGCCATCCCTCAATTGGAACACCCCCTACAAAACCAATTCACCTCCCATCTCACTACCTCCGGCCGCGGGTTCATCTATCCCTTGATTCTGATCAACCATAATCAGACGAGCTCTCTCGAAAACAGTGGCCCAACCAACCCCAGTATCACCGTTTCCCCGTCCATCTGAACGACGTTCAATCAGAACCACATGGCACAAGCTTTCGCCCGCGGACACCTCGTCGCCGCCCAGTTCCTCTTCTCAGCTTCAACACCAAGCAAACGTCATTCCTGCTCCTAGCACTCACCATCCCAAACTGCCCTAGTCCTTACTCTGGGCCTTTTGTGGCCGCCACGGCGCCTCTCGCCCAGGCCTTAGCGTCTTTGCGGATGCCTTCATAATACCAGCCCGCCCCCGAAGCAAGCTTCAGCTCCTGTTCTCGCTCCTCTCCCTCTCCCCGGGACATTCAAGGGACACCTGAGAACTTCCTCGTCGAACTATCCATATGTTCGACCACTTCACCATGGGGATGCAGGCTCGTCCTGTCACGGATGACCTGGATGCCAAGACACATCTATCCCCGAGACAACGACCACGGGACCTAGACTCACCAACGACACCTGCAGCTCCTCCAACCGTCTCGCCAAGCTGTAATAACATGTGCCAAACTTCACCACAACCCATCGACAACCTCGTTCATGAGCTCAGCAAACAGACTTTGTTTCCCGAATTTCTTCGACGCCCGACCCGGCGGTTGTCAGGACCATCACCATCCATCATCGCAGAGTTGTCGGCAGTTGCCCTTGAGGTGGATAATGACTGTAACATGGATATTTCCATGGACGATGCCAAGGAACATGAACCAGTTGTTGATTGGAAGAGATCAAGGCGGCAATGGCACAGTCGTTTCGTCAACAACCCAAACAACGCTCGCGCCATGGAGGCTCGTCTAAGAGATATGATATCAGACAAAACGCAATGCGACATCCGCCCATCAGCGACGGCATCATCTACCTTATCAGTGCCCACGTACCCGGATCTACCAAAGATCGAAGCAGACAACCGCCAGAATCTTGAACAGTCCCTCCGACTTGAAACGGATGAGGGTTTCGGTGAAGACGACAATGACGAGCTGATGCAAAGAGCGTTATCAGCTGAAAAGCAACGCTTGCTAGGCGGTTCTGACGGTCTTCGACACTACGGAGCATTGAGGTTCAGAGGCTCGGCCGAGACGGCTCTTCGATGCCAAAACGTCGTTAGGCATCGGCCACGCATGCGGAAGCGCAAGGGACCAGGGCCATCTCAGGAGCCGCGCCCAATGAAATCAACAAGCTCGAGAGAATAACCAACTACAACAAGAACAATAACTCTATCATCTTTTAACTTTTCAGCGATTTGCACAAGCGACGGATGGAGAATCTGGCGATATACCCATGGGACATAGGCGGCGCATGGATTTGAGTTTGGCAACGGCGTTTCTGGAAGGATATTGCTCTTCAACTTGGTTGGGACAGTCTCCACGCGCGGCAGAAGTTCCGGCTGTTTTTTCAACGACGAGACCTTGAGGGGGGATCTTGCCGGCGGCATTTTCTTGTCTGGCGCAACATCGGAGTTTGGCGTTTACAAGTGCGGCTCATCCGCGACGGAAGCCTGCTATTCTCTATTTTTTTTTCAGCCTACAAGCATGACTTTCGGCACCCGGCACCGGAGGCTATCGGAGTGCATCACGGACGAGTTGATCGAGTCATAGACCGAAGGTTGAGACAAGCCCAGTCAGCCCGCAGGATTTCGTCCTGTGGCTTGCAGACGGCGAGGCGTCGTTGGTCCATAATATGGCCGAAAAGTGTGTCAACTTACGAAAGAAGAATTGTCAGCCGCTTTCTTGAAGTGATTGGACAATGGCTCATTCTAGAGGATCCGAGACGAAATCAACAATCAAAATTCCCCACGTTGCGGAGGGTCGCATCACCTTTTTCAAACGTTCTCAAAGTGAGCAATCGTGATGACTAAGATTTCGCAGAAGAATATCCGGTTTTGATGCTTTCAGAAGAAACGTGCTCCTAAGGGGCTGGGGAGAAGCGTGCAACGTATAACGGCTTCGCGTCGTGACGCGAGCAAGGTCCCGGTCCATTGGGAAGTCATTGTGGCCAACGCAAACTCTGAAGGGAGAGTCTATTCATGCAAACAGTACAATGGACAATGCGATCACTTTTAGGCCCAGCAACTTGTACTGACATGCCCTATCAGACGTCCGAGACCTCTCCGCCGTTCCTCCCGATAAGTGCGTGACCAGGGAGATAACTTGTCAGACATTCCAGTTATCACCGGGCTAACACACAAGCCAGACCCCCACCACCTTGAAGTCTTACTCTTTCGCTGCGTCGATAGTCGACTTGGCAGTCATAACTCCCGGGCGACGAGATGCCGAATTAAACTTTTGGGCGGTAGACTTACGTCAAACGACGTCGGCCTTGATATGGCACCTGCAGTAGTGTATCATCGGTAGACACCTAATCAAAATGAAGTTTGCTGACAGCCGGGATAGTGTCAAATCATGGGCCGCAGATTGGCTGAGCAGAGTCAGTCGATCGAGGCTGAAGCCTGGACCAAGCTCCGGCGCAAAAGGCGTGATGGTGCCTTGAAGTTGGACGGCGCCCTAACCCTCAGCCCGCGTCTGCCCTTTCTTCCTCGAGATATATCCTTTTTCCTTGTTGTAATCAAGATCGCTGCCACTGCTGCTTTGCCCTGGCATATCTATTTTACCCAGTGGTTACACGCCTTCCCAGTGGGCTGGTCTGGACATGCAGGGAAGGGTGATCAAGACCTTCAAAACCACGAGGGATCACATCACCCCGCATCAACCACGTCAAAGACTCCGGATTGATTGTGGCGTTTTCTATCTATCAGGCCCACACGCAACTCCAAAGCACTGCGGGTATCAAGGTGATTATCACTCATTGACCTCGAGCAACGAGTTGGCAGGCAAGACCCGACGGAGCGGAATTGGGGTTGCATGTGCCTGCGGTGCGAGTAACGATTTTTCTTTGTTGACTCTTGGTTGAAGGAGGGGAGGGAACAATTGTATGCTGGGCTTCTACTCGGCCCCTCTTGTCAACCGACGTTGCCGTGAAAGGAACCACACTGATTTTACCCTGTTGTCTTTGATGGTGCTGTCTGCCTGCCATACCCACCCCCGGTTTTAACAGGTACAGAGGGGGGCCGAGATGTCGGACTGGAATGCGGCCAGCCTCGCTGGGTCACTAGACGACGTGGGCAACATTCCTTTGGGCATTCGGTCGCTGAGGGCATCCCTCGCCGAAAGCACGGTGATCTGTGCGATCTCAATTCCTGTGTGGTGGTCTCCTGGCTGCTTCCATATTTTGCGCAATTGTTGCTGTGGCAGGATGAGAGACATGAACCGGACGATATTTGTTGACTCCCGTCCCCTCAACCTGATGCGGACTTGCAACCATCGACGGTCTTCATTTCCGTACAAGAATCCCATTCTTCGAAGATTTACCCCAGTTTCTAACATCTTCATTCTCTCTCTCTTTTCCACTTACTTTGCTGAAAACGATCATTACATCCATCTACTCTCCTTTACAGACTTGCATTTCCTGCCACCCATTGCTTTGCAGCCAATACACGCAGCGGAGGCGATTAACACCCTCCGCGCCCGTTGTTCTGCAATCCCCGCCCTTCCTCCTGCTCATGATCTCGAGCTTGGTTCGTTTGCGGAACTGAACGCGAATAGACACACAGACAGGCCGAGACAACAGACACAACCAGAACCAGAGACACCACGAGAATGACAGTCGCCGTCTCGCATTGGACGAGGAGCCCAGACACCAGTGTCAGGCCCAGCTCGCACCCAACAGACTACGAAGACGACATGACATACTCGGAAGTCCATTTCTCAGTAGAGCCCATGGACGCAGACAAAGACAGCAACGGGGGATCGTCCCACCTGCATTGGCAAGGGGTGACAGCAGCAGAGACAGCGGCAGCGGGTGGACACTGGGGGTCGGCCGCTGGTAGTGCAGTTGACGACGGTCTTTTCTTCGAGGAATTTGTCGACCTCGAGAGGCTTTCGACGGCCGGAGGGGACGAACTCCCTCCGTCTTCTGCCTTACCCGACTCGTTCGTCTACAACATGCCACTCCCCGCTCATGGGTCCTCGTCTACAACAAGAAGCGTATCGGACGATCTGGACGAGCTGCTAAGTTGCCACACACAGCCGCTCGTGGAAGCTAGGGCTAGCGCTGCAGCAGGTCCCGCTGCCACATTAGTGTCCTCATCAGCAGCCGCTAGAGTAGCGGCGGCGACTTCAGACGCGGTGGTTCCGCCAGCTGTGGGCGCTCGGGGTGTGCAGTCTTCGTGGATCGACCGCGCAGAGGAAGCAGGACAAAGGAAAGCTTCTTCCTATCCGGACACAGCTGCTGCTGGCGGGGCCAAGTCGATCTCTGACTCTGAGCTTCTCCGCCTTGAAGGCATATCGTTGAAAGCGTCGCCTTCTCGCGCTCCTTCTGTCGTTGTTTCCCATCCTCCTACTCCTCTTCTTCAGGCCTCGTCCGCTACCAGCAGCAACACAAACCTCCACCTCGCCGGCAGCAGCAATACCAGCAATACTAACAACAACAACGTCAACCACACGAACAACGGTGGTCGTAAGCCGAGCAGCTTCTTCAAAGCCGTCGCCTCCAAACTGCAGCAGAAAGCTGCCTCAGTCCGTCATAAACAGCCCAACATGTCATCCGTTGGCGTCGAAATCAAGGGGCCCCTCTCGCCCACCGTCTCGCCTCGCAAGGCCTTCAAGCTTCGCCCCGAGCACCTGACCGGCCTCGGCGGACCGCCTACCAGACTTCCTCTCTCTCCTCCCAATAGTGCCACCATCCCTCAAGACTTGCCGACTACCTCCTCAGCTGGTAGCAACGGCATGCCCTTTTGTGGTGGATACGTTGAGGATCCCTTCTTCGATGGTAGCTCTGTTCCCATGTTCCGCCGCAGCGACCCTACCACCCCCATGGACACCCCCGTCCTCGACGACAAGAGCGGCATGTTCTATCACCACCAACAAATGAGCTCGGGCAACGTCAACAAGGCCGCCTGGCCCATGGCCACCACCACCCCTCAGACAGATTCTCATGCCGCCTGGTCCAATCCCTATGCCACCGATGGCCTCGACAACCAGTGGTGGGACAACAGCCACATGGACCTGTCAACAAACTCACAGTACCAGGCACAGAATGCACGCAACGCTACCTTCAACCTGGCCATGCACACGCAACAGAGCGAGCTGCCGTACGAATACAACAGCCTCGCCGCCGCCGCACCCGAGATGTCAGGGCTCATGATCCACATGCCTCAACCTCGTACCACCTCATCGCCCGTCGTCCACTACCAGGCACAACAGCTTCACCACCCCCAACAGATGACCGAGCGCCGGCCCCGCATGCCCCGCGCTCCCTCGGCCGGCGCCCGCCACATGTGCTTGTCGACGCCCATGCGCAAGACCCGCAACCCGAGCCGCACACGCCAGGGTAGCCGCGATTCCTCGACCTCACCCACTCCTACGAACCGTTCCCGTCACAGCAGCGGCGGCTCACTTGCGAGTGTCGGCGGCGGAGCAGCCCTCAGCGCCAGCGTGAAGAAGCGTCGGTCGTGGCAGCGCCGCGAGAGCATGCGTACACCATCACTCGGAGGTGGAATGGGCGCAGCGGCCGAGGGCCTCGGCTTCGTCAACTTCACCCCGAGCGACAAGAACATCCTCATGACCGGAGTGGCACCCAGCGGAAGCTCAAAGACCAAGGCCCGTCGCGAAAAGGAGGCGAACGAGAAGCGCAGACGGCTTAGCGAGGCCGCCATCAAGGCCGTCAAGGCGGCAGGCGGCAACGTCGACAAGTTAGTCGAGGAAGGATTCGTTTTCTAATCTTGGTCATTCTTTTTGGTTGGTGGACTTGCAGCAAAATACGCATGGGAGCGCCTGGGAGTTTACGGTGCGGAAGGCTTACGGGAAAGTGATATCGGGCGTTTGACGGGATCATCACACGAGTAATTTTCTTCTTGTCGACGGCTGGTCATCGCTATCTGCTCTTTTACTTCTTTCACAAAACGGCATAGGGGCGCAAGCTCCGACCAATATTGTTACCAACCGTTGACGACGTTGGTCGCCACTTACTTATTACCCACCATCACCCACATTTATTAGGTAGTTAATCTCGGTTTCTTATGTTTGGAGTACACCCAAAATCAAAGGCTGGAACCCGGGTCACGAGATATGGAAGGGATTGGATATCCTAGCAGAGCAGACTCAATACCAATAACAAATCACATCACAATCAAAAA